TTTGTGGTTGGTTAACACAGGAAACCCCAGATGACCTTGTTGCATACATCACTATTATGTCAACTTTTTATGAGATTACGAAAGACTCATTGATCAAGAATAAGGTTGCGTCTGTCTTAGAGACAACACTTAATCAAGACCTTGAAGAGGTAGATGTTGCCATCCTGTTGGCTAACCCTAGGGTGTATATGCAAAGGGTGTAACAAATCCTTCTGGTTCTGTGCTGGCTAAGTTAAAGGAGGGGATGCTTTCCAGGTGCGAAAGTTACATATTCAAGCAAGCATTGGAAGCTAAATGACAAAACCTGTGAAAGATGCCGTCAGTTCATTGTTGTCTAGCGTTAGAATAGATGGAAACATACTCGAGCTTTTGGACAATGTTTACCTGAGATTTGCATACCTGCAATAGTCGACAGGGCTTACAAAAATGAATTGATATCCCAACTCTTCCCATTCAGAGTACGTGAAAAACTATCAAGAATCATAAGAGAAGGTGGAAGAGCTTCTATCAACTATCTTGTGAACCTGGAGTTGGTAAGTAGTGCAGAAATCCCAGCAAGGTTGACAGCCTTCGACAGAGCAGAAACACTCAGGAACAAATATTATGATTTGAACAATGTTTCTGTTTCAAACCACACCTTACCTGATTACAATACTTGCCTCGCTAGGCAAGCAACTACCAGTGCAGCATCATTGGTTGTCAAAATGCTGGGCCCCAGAGCAAGTTGTTCAACTGAGGGATCAGACTATCACAACTTTTATGATGGCATTAACCCAAGAAAAGTAGCCCCCAAGAAAAAGACTGAGTCAGCCTTTACATTCACTTCAGAGTCCTTCAGAATCATGAACCCTATTGAGAAATGCATCCAAAAAGCTGCTGTGGTATCTGCACACATTTCCTCTAGAGGGGGAAAGGGCAATCTCTTTTGGAATATGGTGATGTCAGTTTGGGGATGTGGGGATACTATGTCCAAGCCCATAGTAACCATGTCAATTAAAGAAGGAGCTAGTTTCAAAAGAATAAGTCCATCCATGACTTCAAGGGTACATCCAATAGCCTGTTTCCCAAATGTACACCACTGCATAGTAATTCAGTCAACAAGTCTGGGAAAATACCTCTCTGCATTCTCAACAAGTACTGACTATATGAGTTTTATAACAGCAGCAAGATGTTTTGGACTTCTGGAATATGCATGCTCAAACATACGAACAGATGAGATTCCATTTGCAATCTTGCCTGGTCACCTACCACTTTCTGATGAGACAACCCTTACTGTAATTGATGAAGCTGAAGTGACAAGAAGTTTAAAGGCCATCGAAAGAAATGCAAGTGACGTCTTCAGAGATCCCGTCATGGCTTCACTTGTAACAAAAGTAACTGCTGCAGATGATGAGATGGTGCAAATGATAAGAGTACTCAACAGGCACACATAAAGAAACTAAGAAGGTTTCATCTGTTACGATACAGGTAGGCTTCATAAGGCAAGAAATATCCACAGGTCTCGGAATCGCCATACCTTCTAGAGCAAAAGGCCCAGCTGTGAAAATCGTCGGGGAAGAGAAAGTTGCAAAGCACGGAACAAAGATGATAACAATATACAAGAAATTCTGTGAAAAGATGGGTTCCTCACAGGCATTGGCCAATGCAATAATATCTGTAGTTTCCCTACAATTCAAAAGAACAGTTCCTAGAGCTTTCATAGTGGGAAGGTGGAAGGAAATGGGAACAATCATGGCAAGTGAATTTCCAAATTGGCCTTCCATTTGGAACAATGTCTGCAATTCAGCGAAGCATTGTAAAAGCTTGATGGATGATAAGGTTGTAGATGCCTTGTTTAGATTTTTTGACTACAATGTCAAACAAACATTCAAATTCATGATACCAAAAGCAACTGAGGAAAGTGCAACTGTCCTAGGACTTTTGTACATGGTAAGTCATGGAAGATTGCCCATGCCAGAAAGCTACACTTTGACATCTGCACTGGGCCCTATGCATATCAGTAGATGCTGGAGAATGACATCTATCAGGAAGAAACTTCAAAGGAGGGACTATGAGCTGAACAACGAACTTATGGCAAGAATATACAGTGCCATTGCTATGCAAGCTGATGTTTACTCACCCACATCTGGAACAAAACAAACAATTATCTTTGGAGCTCACAATGCTATCCTTGCTTTCATGGAAGAAATGTCAGAGGGAAGTAGTTTGGATGTGGCAGAATTACATGCACACCATCTAATCTTGGAAGAGGAAAGACAGAGGTACTACAACTCTATTGAGAGAGTCTTAGGTAGGATTTCAAGAGATAAGAAATTTGACAAGGGTGTCTTTTCCAGAGACATGGAAAATATTGTGAAAGATATTACTGTGATAGGTGATCTCCAACTTGTAGGTGACTCTGAAGAAGTATATGCTCCATTAATTAACCCAACATCTGCTTCTGAAGATGCTTATATAGGTGAGATCTTTGAGGGTTCCACAGTGCGCGAAAGTGACGAAAGATCAGAGGAAAAGGGATCAAAGGAAAGACGAATTGTCCAAGCATATTTGAAATGGGGTGCTGAAGGTGTTGCAAGATTTCTTAGAGGAGAAGTAGAAGTAGAGGAATGTGATTCATCTGATTCTGAGATGTATGAAGAAGTCATGGAATACTACAATGAGTTTCTGGAAGAGTCAAGAGACAATTGCATGGAAGTAGATTACCAGATGCCAGATGAGTTGTAAATATGTTTTAGAGCCCACTTAAGTATGTGCATTATGATAATCATGTATATTGATAGAGGGTGTAGCCGAACCGAGTTCGAGGCTAGAAAGAGTAAAAGGTTATAGCCGAACCGAGTTCGAAGCCGGACGGAGCTTGTAGCTACTCTAACTAAAGTTAAACGTTGTATTAATGATTTTAGGTAACCCTATGGGGCCTCTTTGGATAAAGAATTACGCCACAGGAAGTGCGCAGTTGGATGTAAGCAGTTTCTTCACATAGAAGAGATGACGAAATTAATAACATCACGGGACTTTACCGTGAGGCGAAATTGCCGACATTAGTTTTGAATGTTTTAGAAAGAATAGTATATGATATGGTTGTTACTAGCCAGACCCTATTGGTCAATGATGAAAATCCCCGGTATAAGAACCAATCCGGAGGTACTTGTGAGAAGGTAGTTCCCCCCTGGAACTAGTGGTGTGGGGGAAAGTGGTCTCAAGCTTAGTTACCAATACCGTAATCTTTACACACTCGCTACTTGGTCTTCGAGAAAGTTAGGCGCGTCCGAGGGTGCTCAGCCTACCCTCGTTAAATAAAAGTAGCAATTTACTGGGCCATGAGCCCATATTAAAGTCTTAACTTGGTGCAGTTTATGAGTGTAAAATTCAGTGTGTAATAAAAGTGGAAGTCGTCCAAAAGCTAGTTCGGACATCATTTAACAACAGTATCCCTCCTCATGTGACACGTGAACCCTGAGGGAAAGAACCCATCTCTACCAAAACCTCCCCACTTTCCCATTACCAAGACGTCCAAAAACCCTGAGAAGTAACTAAGTCAAAAGTGGTAGGGGAAAAAGGAGTGACCAGCGACGCAGACGACGGAGGCGGGGCTCCACCGCTTCACGTAGAAACAAAGGACGACTACAAGTGTTGTATATTTGGCTTTTATCTGTTTATATACATATATATAATGAGCAATTTTGTTTGTATAATTGCAATAAATGTATTTAAAAACTTGCAAGAAAAAAGATATCTATTGTTGTGCCCAGGATTTTGAAATTTGATTTTGATGTTTAAATTATAATAGTAAGGTTTAGTAGATATGAATTTATGGGTGAGCTAGAATGATGAAACGAACTACGGAAATCGAGCTGGCTCATGTATCCTGTTATTCATGATTATTCATTTCCGTTAGCCAGCCACTTCCCATCATGTGGGACATAGCATGAGGCAGTCAGGAAAGACCAAATATAGGCAAGTTTTAAGAACCATAGGGAATGTAGCCAATAGGAANCACAGTTGAAGTAATATTTTATGTTAGATTAGACTAGGCTTAAGGAACCTCAGGGAAAGTGAGGAGGAGAAGAAGGACCAGACGGACGGAGCCTGTACTACTCCGGACCGCTGGACACACGTAGTATATAGGAACTTTAATTGGATTGTTTAAGTGTTATATTCTGTTCCACTAGTGCTACCTGTGTTATGCAGACCAGGACAAAGAGGGAGAGAACGCTGGAGCCACAAGGCATCCATTTTTGCTTGCTTCTATTGTAATCAACATATGTATAATATATACACACTTTGCTTATCGATGTATTATTGTGGAATGGCATATACGCAAGCAATGCACTACCTTCCCTTGTGAGTCCCGGGGTTGGGGAGAGCGACCTACTGGTGCCCCGAGGGGGAGAATAGGCCACGACCCCCTGCGGCACAACACTATCTATATTTATACATTATACATTTATATAGGTATGAGACAGTGGAAAACGGTTTGTTTCTCTCTTTAACCACGGTATGTACGTGGTTCTTGCAGCTACTACTGCCACCGGGCTAAAACCCAATTGCAGTATAATAAATAATATATATAATATATAGAAATTTCTCTGGAATAGGCGTGCGCAATCCTCTCCAAGAAAGAAAGATCGCCTTTCTCAGATAGTGGGCCCACCCTCAGATGTAACAAGTTCCATAAGCTAGGCCATACCAGCGCCAGGTGTTTGAACTCAAACAGACACCCCAGTGCCAGTTTAAGGGAAGTTTTAAGTTGCACGTGCGAGGATCGCGATGCAAGGGCTGTCGGTAGAGAGAGACCCACAAGTTGTTTTAATTGCGGCCGTGGAGGACATGTCGCAAGGTTTTGTCGGCAAGGACCGGCGTGCAGGAAGTGTGGTCTAACACAGTGTTCCGCAACCGGTGTGCCGTCACAAGGTGAAAGGTGTGACGCGAACTTTTACCTATTGTCAGAAATTAATTGTCGAATTTTATTCGTTTTATTTTATCCCAGTTACCGTGTTTCATGTGCTTTTATTTTATTCTCAACCACTGTACTGATTAAATAAGATTATGCTTGTTTATTCTTTATTAGGGTAAGGTTGCTATCGATGGGCCGGCTCCTTCGATGGGCCACCTCCATTATTTTGTAGTTATTGACAGTAGGCTCTACATTGTGACTGTTTAGTGTACTACATGAAGCTTGAAAATCGCCATCTTGACTGTGAGTTGATCCACGCACAGACAAGGTTCCTATGCAAGAAGGTAAGCTTTTTGTACTTTTCTTCAAAATTTTCAATGTCAACAAAATATGGATATCAGTGAGACGTTAATAGTGTTTTAGTTGTTACTGATAATATTTAAAACTGTGTTAAATCAGCGCTATTTAGCCATATTAACAATGGAAGTTTACTTTGTTATAACCGAAGTCACGGACGTATTACATACGGTCTGCTAGTTGTCTTCAATGGGCCAGCCTGAGTTGCTATGAATGGGCTGGTGGCCCAACCATGGAAACCATATCGAGGCTAATATTTTTGCAACTTTTTCGAGTTGTACAATAAAATGTCGTATCTGATTGTGTAGAAACCTATCAGGAGTAATTAAATCTATAATTATATAATCTCATTTTCTTTATTATAAAAATAATTGTATTAATCTAAATCTGAGTATCCCTCATTCGTGTGTAAAATGAATATTTTATTGAAATTATCGTAATGATTTTCATTATTTCATGCGTAATTTACGCCTATTTGTAGTTTTAGAGTTTTATCTGGCAAATTAATAGATTATGAAACATGCATAGTGTAGGCTATATCTATGTTTTTTTATCCTAGATGCTGCTAGGAGTGAAATATGGTAAATGGGAGGAAGATGATATGAGTCGTGCATTTGATTCAGTGCGAAATGGTGACATGGGCGTGAATGAGGCTGCCAGAACATATGATGTTCCGAGGGCAACGTTGCAGAGACGTTTAAAGGTAACAAACTGTTTTGCAGTGGAGCATAAAAAAATAATAGGTAGCACGGGTGACCTAGTGTCTCGTGTCATTAAACTGGAGGAATTTTTGTTTGGGATAACACCTCGGGAGTTGCGCGTCCTAGCTTTGGAGATCGCACAAAAGGAATCAAATTCCACACCGCTTAAGTCAAGAAAAAAAAATAGCTGGCAAGAAGTGGTATTATTCCTTTATGAGAAGACATCCTGAGCTCAGTTTGCGTCAACCAGAGTCGACATCCTTTGCTCGGGCTAAAAATTTCAATAAAGAGATTAACCATTTTTTTTTTTACTTATTAGGGAGGGTTGTTGACGAGAATAAACTCGATGCAACTCGAGTTTTCAACGCGGACGAGACAGGCTTGTCAACAGTCCATAAGAAACCTCGAAAAGTTCTTACTTTGAAGGGCAAGAAGGCTGTAGGATCCACTGCCAGTGGGGAAAGAGGCTCTACTACAACAGCAGTTTGCTGCGCGTCTGCCGCTGGACAGTATGTCCCACCACTTCTAATTTACAAACGTACATGTTCTGCAGAAGGATTAGAAGATGGAGCTCCACCTGGAACCATTTTTGCATACAATCCCGAAAGTGGATTCATAAATAAAGATATATTTGTACGGTGGCTAAAACATTTCATCGAAGTAGTCCACCCTTCGAAGAAAAAAAAAGTTTTACTCCTTCTTGATGGGCATTGTACACACACCAGAAACCTCGACGCATTAGAAATTGCTCGAGAAAATGGTGTAATCATGCTCTCACTCCCGGGTCACACAACCCATAGATTGGAACCCCTTGACGTTTCGTTCTTCAAGTCATTGAGCAGTTATTACAGCAATGAAATGGAGAAGTTTCTACGACAAAAACGGAGCGAAGGGAAAACAGAGGTTGTCACCCAGTTCCATATAGCAAGATCTGGATACGTTTTGGTTGGCAATAAGGAGTGGATACCCGGCTATCTCCGAGATGGCAGTTAATGTGTTATTGCCATTTTCAACTACATATTTGTGTGAACTGGGCTTCTCGACGTTAACTGAAATTAAGACATCAAAGAGGGAACGGCTCAAATCCATCGATGAAGAAATGAGACTTACGCTGTCAATGATTCCACCACGGATCAGTCGCCTGTGTGCAGCTACGCAGGCACAAGTATCACATTGAAGGTATGAGTAGAATTACTGTATTTATTTTAATAGTAACAGAAGTGTATTTTCTACACTCTACAGTGAATTAAAGTTAATTAATTGTTAATAAATGCACGAGTCGATTTCTGTTTAATGATAATAAAATAACAATATAATAATATTATAGTAATAAGTTGATCACCTTACGTATTTATATTAATTGTCTGATATAATGCGTTTTTCGAGGGGAATAACATTTTGGTGTGCCGTGTTGAGTCATGGATAGTTCATGGTGTGCCGCGAGTAGAAAAAGGTTGCGGAACACTGGTCTAAGAGGACACTATTAATTTATGTAGAGCCCCGAGTAAGGAATGGATCAGGTCGGGAAACGAGGGAATGGGAATCTCGAGCAACCCGAAGATTGCCCAACCCAGAAGGTAAATGGTTGTCCGCAGTTTGAAGTTCCCTCCAACTAAGAGAGTACGTACATTTTATTTTAATTAACTGATTCTGTAATGGGAATTCTTTTTATTATTACATAGTTTTCAATTATATTTTTAAATTCGTGTGACATTCCCCAGTCAGTCTAACTATTCACAGAACTTCTGGTAACATGGATGAACCGGTTCTAAATACGGGCAGTAGAGATGGGAGTACTGAGTCTCAGGCCAACACCGCCAACACAATGCAGTCCGACAGGGATACCAAATCAAGAGCCCACAGGGAACCAAAGAAAAGAAAACGTGCTACCGACACTTTCGAAAAGGACGTGGTAGATGTGCTGAAGAAGTCTACTGCTACACAGCCTCAAGATCCAGATGAAATGTTCTTTTTATCGTTACTTGCCCACGTAAAGAAGATGATTTCATCCGACAAACTTAACTTCCAGATTGGAGTTATGAATCTTATAAAAATCTTACACGGAACCGAAACCCCATCCCACAGCTACTCAGAATTTGCCCTTCATGTCGCCTCCCCTTCCTACTGCTCGAGTCCATCCCAAACTACAGCTACTACTCCTTCCCCTGTACAACCTAGTATGTCTTGTACTGTAGGAACAGAACTTGAGAATGAGAGTGATGATTCCATTTTGTCATTCCTTCAACTGTGAACAGATGATTTCAGTGAGTGTACACGTTTACAACAAGGACTGAAGCTAGAAGAGCTTCTATATGATCTATGAATAAATGTAGAAAATGTTTTCTTTAAACTAATTTATTGTTCCTCATTATATAATAAAACTTATCTTAACGTAACTGCCAGTCTTTCTTCAGCACTAACGGATTTTCGCATTACTGTATTTGTTTTATAAATGGTATCTTCCACGAGGGATATGAGTATTTTAAATGAGTTTATTGTCATCCTATAATATTCGAGAAATCTGTCAGGATATTCCATTAACTTGTGATGTAGTAGCACAAACTTCCCCCTCGCTGACCTGTCCCTCATCATGGGAGGGATCCGCCACTTTCTCCTCTACTGTAGCTGTTTTCGGCGTCAATGACAGATTAATAACAACATAATGCGGATACTGCTTGTCTATTCAGTAGCCTACTGCTCGCCATATTTTGCACACACACTGTGACATGATGGCTATTGACGCTCGGTATCGCGGACGGCTCCATGTGGCCACCTAGTCGCGACATTTGACGCTCCAAAATAGCACTAATTACGGCTCTAGTGTGGCCACCTCATTTGCGACAGTTGCAGCAGCTCCAGGTTTCGAGCAGTAAGAGCGCTTTCACACGAGCTCGCGTGAGCCGGTTCACGAGAGCTGCAGCTACAAGAACATTGTCTTATATGGCGCCTTTCACACACATCATCCAGCTCCACAGAGCCGGCTCATGTGAGCGGCAACGCGGCTCTCCCCGTTGGCAGCCAGCTCGAGCGCGCTACTGGCGGGGCATACAGTCTTATGGAGCCTTTCAGACGAGCGCACGTGAACTCGGCAACTGGCAATGGAGAAAATGATATCAGTGTTCGACGTGGAAAGTCGGGCTTCGAACAACCTCCTCCCGATTCAAAAGGAAAAATACAGAAACAAATCCAGTGGACAGTGTGTGCCAAGTAATCTCTGAAAGTCTCAAGAGAAGAGCAATTACGGAGCAAAGAATGCAGGAAGAGTTAGGCGGTGACGAAGACAGACATTTTCTACTGTCTCTCTTATCCTCGACAAAAAAAGTGCCTGAGAATATGAAAATGCTTATGAGAACTGAGATGATGCAAGTTGTGATGAAGTATATGCAATCTCCCATTCTACCACCAATCCCGCATACTCCTAATCCC